GAGTACACGGAACAAATTGGCATAGGTATCACTTAGATATGCCTTGAGTCATTCCATCTTTCTTCCCTAAACACCAGTTGATAATCAGATACTGTTCTGGGTACCTGGGATCCAAGAAGAACAAGCAGTCAGACTCTGTATATTTTTGGAAAAAATAATCAATAAGGTGAGCACATATAATAAGCATAAGGAGGAATAACAACCGTAGGAAAACAAAGGGCTCTGAAGTGTTGCAGTATGTGTGTTGTCTTGTGTGCAGGAAGAACCAGGTAGGCCTGTGTATTAGAACAGGTCAGGTGAGAGCTCAAACGCAAGCACGGGGTCTTACATGGGGAGTCACTATGACCATGATCAGAACGCTGCACAGGAGAACTGAGTTCTTTGGCAACTGCTTCAAGCAATCATAAAAAAAAAAAAAGAGCTGTTAAGAGGGCAAGTGGGAAAATGGCTTCAAAGAATGTGATTCTAAAAGGAAAAAGAGAAATACGACAGTAATAGGAAGGCAATATAAGATGAGAGAGATTCTTTACCAGTTCTTTTAAGATACAAGAACTAATCATATGGAAGAATTCTGTTAATTGATAACAGAATCGAAACGGAAATTTTGATGGTAAGAGAAAAACTTAATTGAAATGACAAGTGTTTTGATGGGATAAACAGAAATGGGGTCCAATAACCAAACGGAAAGGTGGCCGTAGGTAGAAAATGAACAATAAATTGACCACAGAAACAGAAGACAAGCCACAGCATGTGGTCCAGATAAACAGAGGAGTCAAAACAGAGGAGTGAAAAAAAAAAAAAGAAGCCACACCATGTAACAGAGCTAACTTGTTTTCTTTGAGGTCACATGCTGACTTCTTTTTAGCTATGCTTGATTTTTTTCCTTATCTATAAAGACGGAGAGAATAGAAACTATGACATTATTGTACAAATTAAAAATAAATCACTGATTTTTAAAGCTTCGAGTGACTATAGCGTCCAAATGGTAAATATTGTTTATGGTGCTACTGTTATATTATCATTAATTAAGTGTAGCCCAAATTATGTGATTTGAACACTTGAATTTAATTTACTACCTCCTTGGCATCAAATAAAATGCAATCCCTGGGAGAAAGAGCAAGTTGTCGACTGCAATCTGCTTTGTTTAACATAGTTTCCCAAATGCAATTTTGGCACATTAATCCTAAAGGGGCCACAAATTGAATCAATTCTGATTTCGTTAAAGTCTAAGAAAGCAGTGTTACATTCTATCGAGCCAAATGCTTATCTTGTAGCAAACAAATAGAGAGCATTTTGAAATGCAATATTTGCTACATTTTTTGATTAGCAAGCAGAAGGAATGGATGCCATCGATACCTGGACTCCCAGAGCGAAACTATTTATTTCCTCAGTGAAAATCTCTCTTGATACCTGGGCTTCTCCCTCTGGCTGCCTGATCTCTTTGGTGGTCTTGACACAGCTGCCACCCTGGCTTATCTCTCCTGGTTCACTTCAGTCTTTCACTTTTGCCTCCTTACTCCTTACCCCGCATATTGTTCGCTCTCTGCACAGCAGCGATTGAAAGAATTGTACATCAGGTCAGGACACTACTGTGTTTAAAACCATTTTATTCTGTAAGGAATAAATGCACCTCCTCTATGGTTTAGAAAACCATGCTGAGATGGCCACTGCCCACTCCTGCGACCCATCTCTTCCTGCTCCTTCTATTAATTTTGCTCCCTACGTGCAGGTTGGCACTCTGTCCTAGGAATATTCCAGTCTTTCCCTAGACAGCATTCTTTGACCTTCCTCTTCCTCCTTCATGGAACATTCCTCCTCCAGTTCACCTGAATGGCTCAGGATCATCTCATGCGTCTCCGTTCAATTATCAGCACCTCCCTTAAAGCAACTCCACAAGCACCAGTTTTATTTCATTCATTCATTACACTTATCCTCAGCTGAAATCACTCTGATGGTTTCTCTATTTATTTGTTTTCTGATGTTTCTGGAGTGGGGTGTCTTTTATGAACTACACGTAAAACTTCGTGTCTTCTTCACCCTTTTATCTGGAGTGAATAGAAACTGGGAGTTCACTGAATTTAAAAGGGGAATAAATAAGCTCTGACTGCTGAAATTTGGCAGATGACAGTTAAACCTCAACAGACCAGAGTGACTTCCACCATCCCGTAAGTTTCCTTCCTAATAGAAGGAATTTTTTAAATTATTGTTTTTGTTATTTATTGTTTTATTTATTCCTCCATCCCTTAAATCACTCAGCCAACTTACCACTTATTTATTACCCTAAAATCTAACTTTGCATAAAGTACTTACCCAATTATTTTCTATATATTTGACAATGTGTATTATGTGCAGAAATAAATCAGAATGATCTCAAAGAATATAAATTGCACTGTCTCACTTAATGCCTGATTCCAGAATAGTACAAGATTCTATATTCCTGGAAAAGACTATCTAATTCTCTGCCTAACAATAATAAATTATATATTCATAGATATTGAGAGAAACATCTTTTGGGGAAATATAAACTGAATTCATGACCACAAACATGGATAACTGAAATAAATTCCAAGACCAAGGGTTGTCAGAGTAAAGTGGAAGATGCTTTTGCAAGGGAAAAGTACAATTAAAGGTACATAGGACAGAGGGAGGAAAAAAGTAAAAGACATCACCAAGTTCAGAAAAATCTGCCCAGAATCTGGGCTTCTACACATTAGCACCAATTTATACCAGGAGATAACTCAATGGATTCATCTAGAACTCCTGATTTAGAAGAGAAGGGTAGGGAACTGAAAACATGGCGAAAGGTTTTTTGAAAAGATGTGATCATTTTTCTGAAAATACCGCTTTTATTGAGCATTCATTATATTTCAGGTATTACATTAATTCCTTTACATGCATTTCATCTCAGTGAGCACTATTTATTATTTCCCCACTTTAGATAAGAACAGGAAAGCAGAGGAGGAATTTGAGCCATACAAGGTCAGAGAAAAGTAAATGACAGATGCTGACCTTGACGGTAGCCTAATGTGAAAGCCTCTGTGAACTGAACGCACGGAAATGATGACCAGTTGATCTTAATCCACTTCAGTGGATCCCCACTGCTTTCCCATGTTTAGATGACCAGTGCTAAGAGCCAGAAAATAAATTGCTGTTTTAAAGAGTTATTTCTGTAGTTACTAATCCCACTGTAAAAGTTAATGGCTCATTTTCAAGCCAAATATTTTTCTTTCAATTAAAACTGGAAAGATGCTCAATGAAATGTCAGATAAATGAGTCCCTCCTTATTGCCTCTCATGCTAGGGATCGAATTTGGGACCTCATGCATGCTAAGTATGTGTTCTATCACTGAGATACACCCTCAGGCTCTAAATTACAGTATCGCTAAGCTCCAAAATCCCTGGAATGATGCCCATGGGATATCATTAGTTAAAAAAAGCAAAGAGTAGCGGCATAATATGATCCCAGTTGATATGCTAATATTTGGAAGCGTGTGGAAAAATAGTTTTCACTCTTAGCAAGGCCTAACTAGGCAGGTGGAGAACTCTATCATAATACCATCTTCATACATCTTTGTGTATGTTCCATCACAATAAGCATAGCTTAATTTTGTAATCAATAATGAGTACAGAGTAATTTTTCCTCATCATTTATTTCTAAATATGGTCTTCCTATGTGTTTTAATAGTTTTTCTCACATGATCTTATTTCTAATCTTAGCTGTTGTTTTTTAACTCTTCTTTCAACCAAATTTACTTTACACATCAATATTCCAGTTAAGATTTCCACTGAATGACAAATTCTCTAGCAAAAATAAATTGAGGAACTTTTGGTTTGTGATGCCTGATTCAGTTCTGTTAGTCTGTTAGTAAAACTAGCTACTGGATATGGGGCGTCCTTCACATGTCCATGTGTAAGCATAAGGCTGTGTGTGTTATCAACACACATATTTCTATATCAATGAGAAATTTCAGATTGCTCTATCATAAGTGTTGTACACACCACTTGAAGATGAAATATGAACTAGGATTAGTTTACTTAACTAACTTGAATGGCCAGTCTATTACTGGCATAGGGACCAGAAGTAGTAATTTGTAGTCCGTAGCTTTAATAATGAAATCACCAGATTATTGGTTTTAAGGCACTTTGTAAGGAAAGTTGTAGGTCACTTCAAACATTATCCTACAATGTAGAGGGCTCTGATGTAGCTGAAAACTGAAGGAGCTAGCAAAATGAATGTCCTCACTAAACCTAAACTATTACTTGGCTAGGAAGTGACCACCAAACAAGCATATACAGATATTCCTTGCTTAACAACACACCTGTTAATGACTTTTCAGACTTACACCCATCTTTGTACAGTTACGGACATCTTGTGTATAGAGCATCAGTGTCTTTTGCGTACAGTACATCTTGGTTATATAGTAGTGTCATTTTTGCCAAGAGTACTGTATAATAAAGTACTGTAGTTTTATGTTCTGGTATACACTACAGTATGGCATGTAAGAGTTATACAAATAAGAGCAAAGTCATCAAGGTAGAGTTTTCTTTGACCGTTTCTACCTACCTACTCAGGGAGACTGGGAGCCAGCAGAAAAAATACTGTACTAGGATAGAGGGGAGACTAGGGAAGGGATGATAAAGGAAAGGGTATCACGGAGTGGAGCGTGTTCATAAGTCCAATCTCACAGCCCAAGAATTTGCTGTTCCAAATGCAAGACTGATACATATTAATTTACACAGCTCCTTTCAGTGAACGCAAGCATCTAAATACACTTCTGTTCTTGTCGGAGGAACAGTTCCTCCTCATCAGTTCCTGGTTCATTGGTAGAACAGAGACAACTCACAATGCCAAATGTCCGCCATCCCTTTCCATCAGCGTGTCTGCTGGCTCGGCCCACCAGCCCCCCGCATTCCTCCACCCTGGAGGATGGGATGGATGCCCGCTCATGCTTTATCGGAGAATCATCACCTCAGATAAGGCTTGGTGCTGTTCAAACCTACCATTCTAACACCATTTTCAAAAGCTTGCCGGGTGAGAGGAGCTGGTCCGTCCACAGTCTTGCCGTCATCATCCGGGCCCCAACTGGCACTGTATATGTGCACGTGCTGGGGGTTGAAGCTGACTGACTTCGCTTCCACCATGTCCGTGACATCTCCGTCCAGCATTCTCACACCTGCGAGACAGACAGGAGGGTGAGCTCAGTACAGAACTGTCACTATCCGACATCCAAGAAACCACACTATTGGGCTTTGGGGGTAAAAAATGTTGGTTTTTTGGGGGTACCAGGGACTGAACTCAGGACTTTGCACTTACAAGGCAGGTGCAGTGCCACTGAGCTAAATCCCCAACCCCTAGAAAATGTATTTTTAATCAATACTTCGGAAAGAACATTTTCTCCCTGAAAGGATAATGTGCAATTTTCAGAAGATGTCTTAGGGAGCAAAGTTACATTGCATGTAAAAGGAGAAAAGCTTTCTAAAAATCTTCTTTATCCATTTTTTTTCCTCCAAGCTTCTAATTCCTACAGTGATTGCCATAATCATCCCTTCTCATCTCTTCCTAACTTCTACTGGATAGGAAGATCCTCAAGCAATCTGCGTTCCCTAAGTTTCATTCCAGTAAACAACTGGTGCTCAGAGTTGGTATAAAGTAGTCTAGCTTCCGCAGTCTTGTAAATTTGGGAAAACTGCCAAGTTAGGTTGGTCCTATTTTCTTTATATCTAGTATCATCCCCTAATCTGAAGATTGATGGAAACAATATATTTATTTTTTGTGAAGTTATTTATAAATCAAATAATAAATGGGAATGCATTTAACACTTCAAAAAATTCCAAAGGATTTCAGCAATGTTTAGCCATTAATCTTCATTTAAGTAGCTTCCTACAAGACAGAAATTATTAACTCTAAAGTGGACACTAAGACACTTAGAAATGAATTATATGCTGAGCCACACAGTACTCTCCAAGGCCAAGGAGGGAAGATCACAAGTTCGAGCCTAGTCAAGGCATTTAGCAAGAACTTGTCTGAAAATTTTAAAAAGGGGCTGAGGATGTAGCTCCATGCAGGTACCCTGTGTTCAGTCCCACAGTACCCTAAGAAAGAAAGGTTATGAGAGATAGAGATCGGGGGGCACCAAATGCCAGGCTTTCCTTTTTCCCTTCTATTTTGGAGACTCACAATAACAAACTATTTAATCGTAAGGTAAACATACCTGGGCTGAAGCTAAATATCATTACTGAAATATTATGTCTTTCCAGGGCAAACTTACTCTTTACTAAAATCTTGCTGTGTCAGTAAGATTTCAAGTGTTCATTGGTTATCAATAAGCAGAAATTAAAGAGTAAGACCTCATATCAGGCAGTCGTACTATACGTAACTATAAATCTAGCTCCTTTCTATTACCTATCATTGATTTGGCTCTTTATAATTTGGGTTTCTTTTTTGCGGCTTTTTAAAGAACTTTAACTTTTAACTATCAAATTCGCAAAGGGTAAGAAGTGAGTGTGTCTGTATCAAAATTTTCAGTAACAAATTTTGCCTCCATTTTGTCATCTAAAAGCTTTTTGAATTTTTAAAATTGCATGACAGAGATCACTTTTCATCTTTTAATATGTTTAACAACAATTAAAAAAGTAAATAAGCCCTTACGACATTCAGCTAACATTGAATTTTCCCCAAATATCGTATCCTAAAGATGGTGCATGTGGTTGTTATGTCTCCTATGTCTTCCTCCAGACTTCTGTACTTGTTGTTGTTGTTGTTGTTTGTTTTGGTTTTCTGAGACAGGGCCTCACTGTGTAGTTGAGCCTGACCTGGAACTCACTATGTAGCCCAGGCTGGTCTCAAATTCACAGAGATTAGACTTCTGGGTTTTCTCTACATA